GATCACCTGTCATAATCTGACATTTTTTAGATCAGATTTACATTACACAAGTAAAGGTAGGCATACTCACAAAAAGAATTTAAAAATTATGAAGTGTAAAGATAATATAGTAATTTAATTATGCGAAAAATACGTATACAACGCTGTTACCTCCCTTTAGCTAAGATTTCCTACCTATAGAGGACGCCAACCGGAAATGACGTACATTTATCCCTAGAACAGAAAGTACATGTTTCGTCTTGTTGAAAACGTATAGCGTTCAAGTGGCCTACATTACTAGTCAAGCACTTCTAACAATGTTCCGCACAGTGTAATATTTATTACCGTAGACACTCGTATCGCCACTTGTTACTACTCCTAGGCCCAGATAAAAGCGCACATGCATTGCTAATTAATGTGCGCGTTTTCCTGTATCATGTCCTTGTTGTGGAATTAACGCCATTTTTCAAGGCATGGCAGTCTGTACATAGTGGACAATATATTTGGACGAGGGAAAGGAAGAGCTCTGGAAGAACCACGAGAACCTAATGGCAAGCTTTCTTCCATACCTACTTTGTCCACGCCAGAGACTCGAACCCATTCGGACAGAGGTGGGAAGTCATTGATCGGTAAAAGCGACTGCCTTGGACCACTCGGCCACCCTGAACTTTAATCGATGTATGAAGAAAACTCATGGATATGTGAAAGCATAATTTTCAAAGAAGCATAACAAATGAGAAACACGATTCAATTTTCTTAGTTCAGAGAAGACGTAAATATAAATACTATGGATGTTGAATCGGAAAAAATAACTGATACTTTATTTTCGTTTTAGTGTATATGTATATAAAATTGTAAACAAAAAATTAAAGTCCTTTGAAATTTCAGCAATTCGTGTTTTAAAACATTATGTATGCTAAAACAACATGGCTTTTAAAGTGTTGACGTACAGTAGTTTGATATAGCAATACTGTTAGTATCTCAAATTGTGTAACGCCAATGACGTATACGTATATAATTATGGTGTCAACGGTAGACTATTACTTGTATACTGGCTAGATCAGTGATGAACTTCCAATTTTTAATCATTAATAAAATAAGAAAATAATAAGAAGAAAAAATAAATCCTGTTTTGCTTGTAATGAACTGAAAATGTTAAATAATTTTGTCTTCAAAATCCCGTATTATTCTCTCTCTCTCTCTCTCTCTCTCTCTCTCTCTCTCTCTCTCTCTCTCTCTCTCTCTCTCTCTCTCTCTCTCTCTCTCTCTCTCATCCCGTAAGTGACAACAATAAGTGGAAATATGATGTGAAGTGAAAGAGAATCAAGAATCTGAGCTGGATGAAAACCTTGAGCTTGAACTTGCTCCAAGTAACCCTGAAGAAATTTGAGTCCTTATATTGATATGTGTGCACTTTATATATATTTTAGGAGAATTATTTTTCTTGTAAACTCTTAACACTGTTCTATACCATGGGTGTTGAGAGAGAGAGAGAGAGAGAGAGAGAGAGAGAGAGAGAGAGAGAGAGAGAGAGAGAGAGAGAGAGAGAGAGAGAGAGAGAGAGAGAGAGAGAGAGAGACTTGAAAATGAATGTGGGTGTCACTCAGCTGTGTTGATATGGCTACATTTCGGGGGGGAAGGGGCTTGGCAGTGAGAGAGGCAGAATCCGCTGTAAGAAAAGAGAAGTGTATGTCTCCTGATTCCGGAACGGACTCTGTAATGAAGAGAGAGAGAGAAGTCTGTTTCTGACTCTGGGACAGACTGATTTTATTTAGATATACAGATATATAATGCTACATTCAAGCGATACATGTTATAAAGCCTTTATATTTAAAATACATGAAACACATACAAATGTATGCTCTTACTTCGATTTTACCAACGTCATATATTTGTATAATTTCTGCCTTTTATAATATAATGTATATAATTGAATATCAAATAATTCAAAACGCATATTTGCAATAGTTGCGATTAATGCAACAATCATTTAAAAGAAGTTTATAGATTATTACTTTGGAATAAGTTACTAAAACATTGTTCTCTGTTACATAAAGAACCTTTTCCAGATTAAAACCAAACATGAAGTTGGTAGGAATTAGTCTTTTCCATGATACATATCTATAAATATAAGTGCTTTGAAACAATAGAATATTCATTGCATTATAATAGTAAGAACTCATAAAATGTTACAAAATATCAAGTCTGGATTGAACTTTACCATAAAAATCTCAATATTAAAAATCCTATAGTTTAAAGAGTTTGTGTACACAAACAATTATTAACTGTAATGAAGAGAGAGAGAGAGAGAGAGAGAGAGAGAGAGAGAGAGAGAGAGAGAGAGAGAGAGAGAGAGAGAGAGAGAGAGAGAGAGAGAGAGAGAAGTCTGTTTCTGACTCTGACTTAGCCGGCCTGGAATATTTATACACGCAATCCCATCGAATCAGAACAAACTCTCAACCCTTCCCACGGTAAAGAGCGTGAATCATAAATTTGCAAGCCTTGAAACACAACTGCGCAATTACAAACCTTGTATACAATCGAAATGTATAAATGCATATTATCAGCGGGTCATGAAGTCTAAAATTTGTTTTAACGTTAACCTTTAAAATGCCGGAAAACGTACTAGCTCACACTAGCGCGATTTACCAAAACAGCGCACAGCTGATGCGACTCGAAACAAATAAAATGTCAATCTCAGTATCGTTTAGTGCACAATTGCCTTCAATAAATTTATTTTAGAATTCGATGTTAGAATTGATTTCAATCATAATACTTTGTGCTAAATATAATATGATATATAATATAATATAATATAATATAATATAATATAATATAATATAATATAATATAATATGATATATAATATAATATAATATAATATAATATAATATAATATAATATAATATAATATAATATAATATAAATATAATATGATATATAATATAATATATATGATCTTCTAGCATTAGACAACACCAGTGATTCGAATATGGAAGCCCATCGCCGCTAAATATGTGCAGTTAAAGCTAACATCTAATAAAGCAGGAAAAGCTAAAATAAAATTAAACGATCAAATTACAAACAATATCATAAGTGTTCGGATGAAACAAATAGGATACAAACGAAACAGAAAAGCGTTGTATGAAGTAAATAGCGGAATAAAGCTACTCGCAGAACAAGCCTATGAAGACTCATCTTCGCTAGTTAAAAATGCGATACTATAACCTATCAACATCTTGGCGGATCGCTCAGATATATTGTACTCGCGACACATATTGGATTGCACGAGTTGCCTCCCTTAGTATGTAATGCCAATAAACCTATAACAGTAACAGCAGTGCATTGTACATTGGCAGAAAATGGTGGAGGCAATTGATTTCAAAACGATACTTTGTAAGTTTAATATCGTAAGACTACGTACCACAGAAAAAAGGAAAATTAAGAGACTTTGGCACAGAAACAAACTGAAGAGAAATAAAACAAAATAACATACCAAGAACGAATCAACTTTTATGCAAGGCAGAAAAAAGTCAAAATGAACTGAACAAAATGGAAACGAAAAAATTAAACAACCACACACAAAAGAAACAAGCAAAATACGAATTAAGAAATCAAGCACCAAGCGAAAGAAACAGTATATAATTAAAAATTAAAACAAATAAAAATCAAGACGATTAAGCTAACATAAAACGAAACAAAGTAGCAACAAATTTTAAAAAAAACAACAACAGAAAAACATCCACCCCCACTCAAACATGTACATCACCTACTGAAGAGACGCTGAAAGTAAATGAATGAAGGAAGATAGCCAAAATAACAAACGGCATCCCTGGATTGTGAAGGGAGATTACTTTCCTTAAATCAAGATTGCCAAACATTTGCACATGCCGAGTCCAATGAGATATAAATATTATTGATACAAGGTTTTGGAATGAAGCAACATATTTCCTGTCACGCGCCATACACAGCAACGCAGGTGAATCGAGGCCGCGGTCCACTCTGACGGCCCTAGTGCTGTGCCGTTGACAGTATCAAAATGGCCCCTGAAATCCGACAGCTTAATACCTTGAACATCCATGGCCGGATTAAGTCCTTATGGGCACGTATCCATTATAGATGTAAAAATGTATACCCTGAATGCAGTCCTTAATCTGTCCTTTGTATTTGTATAATTATCATAACTATTGTTGTTGTTGTTGTTGTTGTTGTTGTTGTTGTTGTAGTAGGGTTTAACGCCATTTTTCAGCACAAGATCGGCTATACATGGCGGCCAGTATTAATGATGGAGGAAGAACCCGGAAAAAAAACACGGAAAGAACCACTGACCCACGAGAAGCTACTGACAAGCTTTCTCACATACCCTCATTGGCCGAATCCGAGACTAGAACCCAAGCAGAGGTGAGATGGCAATGATCCGTAACGGTGAGGGTCTTAGACCACTGGGCCACTGGAGGTCCCTAATTAGCATAGCTATGTTATGCTAAGTATCAGACGGTTTGGACCTATAATATATGGTTTATTTAAACACTAGTAACCGTATTATGGGAATCCGGAAGCACATGCCCCGTAATCCAGCCCTATTTTTTTTATTTTCTCAGTATATAATTATTCTCTAAGACAAGAATTGCTGCTTTTTTTAAAAAAAATTCTCAGAATGTTTTTAACTTGACGTACATTAAATTATAAGAAATTACAGCATCTCTCTTCAATTAAGAAAATTAAATCGTCGTTCTCAGTTTTTATATCCTATCATAGTTTATATTTTCATATATTTATGAACTGTTTCCATACATCTATGAACTTTTTCTATACATCTATGAACGTCTTATGTTTAATACTGTCTTCAAACTTCTCTCTGGAGCCGATATTAATGGATACTCAACTGAAATAAACTTGATAATGACTTTCTAAATGAGGATAACAAGGTCTCTCTCTCTCTCTCTCTCTCTCTCTCTCTCTCTCTCTCTCTCTCTCTCTCTCTCTCTCTCTCTCTCTCTCTCTCAACCACTCCTGTGTGTGCTCCGGTGGCCGAGTGGTTATAGCGTCAGCCTCGGATGCGGGAGGTCGTGGGTTCGATTCCCGATCGAGTCATACCAAAGACTTACAAAAATGGTACTAACAGCTGCCTCGCTTGACGCTCTCTCTCTCCTCTCTCTCTCTCATCCAGACTTCGAATCAAATGTTTTTTAACTAGGTGTTCAATTTCGATGTAAATTGCCTTATATAAAACATTGTTTTAATTATCGTAGCCGTTATTAAACCGTGTGGTCAGATTGGATTAAACATATGGATTGATAACGTTATTTATGTCAATTCTATGTTTATGCATGCGTTTAGATGCTTGCTGATCGCTTTGTTCAGCATATTTATTTTGACAAGAAATTAAAAAACAACAACAAAATAAATGAGATGCACAGTAAGTATTAAAGTGCATCTGAAATGTTTCCTTGGTATTAATGCTACTGAAATAAGTGTTTTCATTATTAAAAGAGCAGTGCGTGCAATGTTTCCTTGGTATTAATGCTACTGAAATAAGTGTTTTTATTATTAAAAGAGCAGTGCGTGCAATGTTTCCTTGGTATTAATGCTACTGAAATAAGTGTTTTCATTATTAAAAGAGCAGTGCGTGCAATGTTTCCTTGGTATTAATGCTACTGAAATAAGTGTTTTCATTATTAAAAGAGCAGTGCGTGCAATGTTTCCTTGGTATTAATGCTACTGAAATAAGTGTTTTCATTATTAAAAGAGCAGTGTGTGAAATGTTTCCTTGGTATTAATGCTACTGAAATAAGTGTTTTCATTATTAAAAGAGCAGTGCGTGAAATGTTTCCTTGGTATTAATGCTACTGAAATAAGTGTTTTTATTATTAAAAGAGCAGTGCGTGCAATGTTTCCTTGGTATTAATGCTACTGAAATAAGTGTTTTCATTATTAAAAGAGCAGTGCGTGCAATGTTTCCTTGGTATTAATGCTACTGAAATAAGTGTTTTCATTATTAAAAGAGCAGTGCGTGCAATGTTTCCTTGGTATTAATGCTACTGAAATAAGTGTTTTCATTATTAAAAGAGCAGTGCGTGCAATGTTTCCTTGGTATTAATGCTACTGAAATAAGTGTTTTCATTATTAAAAGAGCAGTGCGTGAAATGTTTCCTTGATATTAATGCTACTGAAATAAGTGTTTTTATTATTAAAAGAGCAGTGCGTGCAATGTTTCCTTGGTATTAATGCTACTGAAATAAGTGTTTTTATTATTAAAAGAGCAGTGCGTGCAATGTTTCCTTGGTATTAATGCTACTGAAATAAGTGTTTTTATTATTAAAAGAGCAGTGCGTGAAATGTTTCCTTGGTATTAATGCTACTGAAATAAGTGTTTTCATTATTAAAAGAGCAGTGCGAGAATCTAGCAACTGTTGTAAATAATTGAATCATGTTTTTTACACAATTAAAAACATTAACTCTTTTAGTGTTTAAATTCTGCTAAATATTTGACAAACTTAACTCATTTAATACTTATATCTGCTAAACATAACTTTTCCTCCTGTTATTATTTATGCTTGTGTACATGTGTTCATTTTCTGGTCAATTTTATTTCATGATCGTGTTCCTTTTGATACACGTATAAGGCAACATAGTTATCTATTCCTTCTGATGCTACATTTTCACTTTCCTTCAGCTTCTGTCATACACTTTTTTAATGCGATTATAATACATTCTACCAACTATGAAACTTTTCTGTCGTATAGACCATTCTTAGAATGTATTCATGTATTCACGTGACCCTGGTTCAACGAATCCAAAACGAGGCTAAGCTAGGCGGCAGCTTATAGATTTGTTAGAGCCAGGGACCAAATTATGGCAGATAATGGTTTTCTTAAAATTAAAGAGAACATTATTTTAATAAACAGATAAACAGAATATCCCATTCATAAAATGACATTTTTGAAATTAAAAGTTGTTTAGTTTTGCTCAAAGTTCGAATTCCCGATAAAGTTCCAAGATGGAAGGCGACGACGTCTTCTATATCCTTTTTGTGCTGTTGTGTCAACAGTTCTTTGTTGAATTTTATGAATCAAGATTATATTCCAGTTTTAGAATTCTGAATAATTTCCAATAAATGTCTTTGTAAAAGAACTTTGATGAACACAAGTATTTTCCAGGGTGAATAAATTATTTCAAACAACAAATTTAACTCAAATTGTCACAACATAAAAATACTTTTGAACTCCAGAGGTATCAGTTTACGACTGACTAAAAAACACTAAAAACGTTAGTTTCAAGCGCAATTTTATATAACATGACGGGGTCAATGGATCACTTAGTTCAAATGCCGCAGTTAAAACAAAAAGCCAATTTACACATGCGACATGGACGGTGTGGTATGGTGTTTATAATTTTTAATGTAGTTTTAACATTTTTTCAGTCATATCGCTACGATGTCTGCAGTGTGGCAGTTTATAGTGATGTCTATCACTGGGGCATCATGCCACAGACATGCAGCATGATGTCCCACCCAGTCACATTATCCTGACACCAGGCCGACCAAACCTAACACTAACCTCTTAATGCTGAGCGTCAAGCGATGCAGCTGTTAGTACCATTTTTGTAAGTCTAAAGTATGACTCGACCGGGCATCGAACCCACGACCTCCCGCATCCGAGGCTGACGCTCTAACCACTTGGCCACCGGAGCGGTTCGCGCCATGGACGAATTTGATTTTGCTGAACGAACCTTACTATAAGATTAAATAATAAAAAGTTGTTTAGAAAATAGAATTAAGTATGACCTTGATTACATCCAATGATTTTACTCTGTTTTTACCAATTTAAGAATCAAGGTTAGGTACTAGTTCAGCTAAAAATACAGTGTAGCAACATTGAGAATTTTCTCAAAAAGTCAAATCCAGTAAATAAGTCATCATTAGAATAACATGTAACGAAATAAAAATAAATTTTAAAAAAATTTAAAACTAACACCCAAGAAATTAAATTACATATAGAAAACAAAGCTACGGACTTAACGTGTATCTAATAGGTCGGTAGGGCTCCTAATGAGCTATCTGTTAAATGGAAATCAGCAAATTATAATGCAGCGTGTCTTCGTTGACTGCACTAAAATCAAGATGGGGTTCGGCAGTGGTCAGTCTTTAATGTTTTTAAAAATCATAGTTGTTTATATTAAATATATCTCTTTATATAATTATGTTGATGATAGCACTTGGTCGTTCTTCACATCGAACACTGAAACTCTGCTTTGCACATTTGAAACCGAGTCCCACATTGTTTTTTTTTAAAATTATTATTATTATTATTATTATTATTATTATTATTATTATTATTATTATTATTATTATTATTATTATTATTATTATGTACACACATATACACATTATTGCATAGACACTAAGTGGGAGAAATCGGTACTTGTCAAGTTTATAATGTTAAATTGTTTTAGATTTTTTTAAAAAAAAAATTGTTTACATTGCTACAATTTTTAATATTAACCCAACAATTTTTAATATTTACTTTTTAAACTTTGTGTGTTTGTACAATTTTTAACAATTTTGTACAGTTTAATTTATTTTGTTTTAGTTTATTTTGCTTAAATGTTATGGTTTCAATTTTGTGTTCCAGTTTTCATCTATTACTCAGTTCCCATCAGTGATTAATGTTTGTTGGTATATATGCAGGTGTGTGCATTTGTGTTAGTACTTGCACCTATACTTCATTGTTTGGTATGTATGTATGTATGTATGTATGTATGTATGTATGTATGTATGTATGTATGTATGTATGTATGTATGTATGTATGTATGTATGTACGTACGCACGCACGCACGCACGCACGCACGCACGTACGTACGTACGTACGTACGTACGTATGTATGTATGTATGTATGTATGTATGTATGTATGTAACTACGTTACTTAGAAGCAATAAATGTATGTATGTATGTACGTGCGTTACTTAGAAGCAATAAATGACATTGCGCGAGGCGTTCCGAAGAAGAGAGATTGAGAGAGAGAGAGAGGGGGAGATGTATGTATGTACGTACGTTACTTAGAAGCAATAAATGTATGTATTATGTACATGTGTTACTTACAACATATGTGTACATACATACATACATACATACATACATACATACATACATACATACATACATACATACATACATACATACATACATACATACATACATACATACATACATACATACATACATACTTTTCCGCATGCACGCACGTACGTATGTATGTATGAGCATATATTATCAGCAAAATAGTCTTCCACACATTTTTTTTGCATGTAAAGGTGTATATTTATTTATTAATAAAGGTGTGTGCTAGTTTGTGTATACATATGTGTGTATTTATTTGTTATTATGAGTGTTAATAAGGCTGTGTGTGTGTGTGTGTGTGGGGGTTCTCCCCAAAGTTGGCGCGAGTAACCCTCATTCATACCCGTTCTGGCCTTTCTTTTTGTTTGTGAGTATGGGTGTTGTATTGTACTTATGTTTATTAGTATTCGTCAAATAACTCGACTTTCGTTTTGCTTGTATGTATTGGTATTGAATAGAAAATAGGTGTTCTAGTGACCATTACCTATCCCCTTCCTTACTTCATTATATTTGTTTAAACGGGTGTTGGGTTGTAATTATATTTGTGACATAACTCCCCTTTCCCTCGTCCGTTTGGTTTAGAAGGTGGTAAAGATGGGCGTAGGACAGTAACCGCGTGTGTTAGTGACCATGACATAAATCTCCTTTTCCTCAACTGTTTGTTTGCTTGTGTGGGTGTTTGTTTTTAAGAACGTGTGTTGGTTTGTTTGAAAGAATAGGTTTTATTCCTCATAACTCAGTAGGTACTTAAATTTCCCCATAAACATGTGTGTGTGCGTGCGTGTGTGTGTGAGAGTGCTGTTCATCAATTATATTTGTATGGCCACTACGGGATATTTGTTGGTCACACAAGATGTGTATTGGTTTGATTTTATGGTTAAAGTCATTTTCAGAAGATGATACGTCATACATGGTGGCCAGTACATGTGGAGCAGGAAACATGCGGAAAAGCCCAATGGTGTGTGTTGGGGGG